CCCTCTCCCTCCCTCCCTCTCCCTCTCTCTCTCTCCCCCTCCCTCTCTCTGCATGTGTGTGTGTGTTCCTCTTTCTGCTTTGCACCAGGCAAAAACAGTCTTTGTTTGGAAGCAGTGGTGCCTTGCCAGAGCTTCACCCCTCTGGGGCAGAAAGCACATGCAAGCCAGGGAGGGTGAGGGAGCATTATTGTGTCAATCACAAAGGAGGTGCACTCAGATGTGTCAGCCAACGGACATATGCTCTGGCATCAAATTGCTGGAGGAGTTTTCGAGTCTGTTAACTTACTCAGAATAACCGATGAGCTTCAAGGGAGCTTTTCCATAAGGGTTCCTTCGCTTTTAGATGGATTATCTCAGCGACTCAGCTTTCAGGGGCATTCTGAGACATTGGGTGGTTCTGGCCAAACTATGACGTCAGATATATATTCCAAGTTTTTGAAGGAGGAGACAAAGGGAATGAAAACAAATCTGTTCACTTGACGGTTTGCTGCAAATTGTGATTCTGGCTGCTGCTGTAGAACAGAGCAGAGCAGAGCAGAGCAGAGCAGAACAGAACAGAACAGAACAGAACAGAACAGAACAGAACAGAATATAGAATAGAATAGAGCTGGAAGGGACCTTAGAAGTCTTCTAGTCCAGCCCCCCGCTCAAGCAGGGGAACCTATACCATCTCAGACAAGTCCAGTCCCTTCTTAAAAAACTCCAGTGATGGAGTGCCCACGATTTCTGAAGGCAAGCTCTTCCACTGGTTAATTGTCTGCACTGTTAGGATGTTTCTCCTTAATTCCAGGTTGCTTCTCTCTTTGATCATTGTTTCTTGTCCTTCCCTCTGGTGCTTTGGAGAATAATTTGACCCCCTCTTCTTTGTGGCAGCCTCTCAATAACTGGAACACTGCTATCATGTCACCCCTATTTCTTCTTTTCTTTATACCAGGGGTCCCCAACCCCCAGTCCATGGACCAATACCGGGCCATAACATACCAGCAGCCGGTCCGCACAAAAAAGCAAAGCACCATCCGCGGGATGCAGGCAGCACACAAACCATGCACTCTCTCCATGGAACCGGTCTCTGGTGGCCAAAAGGTTGGGGACCTCTGCTTTAGACTAGCCAAACCCAAGTCCTGCAGCCATTCTTCATATGTTTTAGTCTCCAGGCTTTTCAACTTTCAACTCAAAAAGCAACCTGTTTTGCATTTTAAGTAGCTCTGCGGGATTAAAATATGTTTAAATGTTTTTGCAATGGTTCTCTAATATAGAGAGAGTGCTGTGTATGAGTTTTAGTGACCTTGCTGGCTGTTCTGTTGACATGAGCCAACCAACTGAGTGAGTAAAAGGAGAAAAAACAGCTCAGTTCTGGCCTTGAAGGGCAGCTGTGCTGTCACAGGCCTGATGAGCTGACCTGGCTACTAGCCAGGCTGATGTAGGGAGATTTTTGAGACAGCATTTCCTTTGGTCCAGACTGATACATTGGTTTTGGAGACACATTTAGAGGAGCAGAACTTCAAGGTCTTTGTAAACTCATATGTAGCTGGGCAGTTGAAGACTGTGGCCAGGAGGGCCTTTGCTCACTTCATCTTATGGCCCTTTTGGGAGCAAAAGTATCTTGCTTCCTCATCATTCTGCTTGGACTATTGCAATATTCTGTACACCAAGCTGCCTTGACCACCACTTGGAAGCTAAAGTTGGTCCAGAATGCAGCAGCCTGATGGTTTGCAGGAACACATTATATTGGTTGCCAGGAATATATTACATTGGTGCTCTGTGCTCTGTACAGGTTACCTGTTGGCTTTTGGATACAACTCAGGCGTTGATTTTAAAGTGCCCTATTGTTTGGCACTGATGCATTTTGAGGATCACTTCTTCCAAACAGAATTAGCTACTGTATTGGGTAGGGTTAGGGTTAAGCATTCCAGAAGAAACTGCTGTTGGTTTCCCATTTTTGCAGAGTTGGGTGGGTGAGAATTGCAAATAGTGCTTTTTAGTGATTAAGCCCGTATTTTTACCGTATTTTGGAAGAGCTTTCCATTGCAGAACATGTTGATGATGATGATGATGATATCCATTCAATCATGTCCAATTCTTGGTGGTTCTATGGGCCAGGTCTCTCCACATCTTCCAATCTTGTAGTACTTCTTTAAGTTGTTCTGTGTTCTGGATGGCGTCAGCTTTGACGGTGTCCAGCCACAGTGTTCTTTGACAGCCTGGTTTCCTTTTACCACTAACTCTTCCATTGGAGAACATATTTATCCCAAATTATTAGTTTTCCAGAGGCTATTGAAAATGGAACAGTTTCAGATAGCTTATGGGAATTTAAACAACCAATTGAATATTTGTTGTAATGTATAAATATTTTACTTCATTAGTCTCTCATCATGAACATTTTAGTTGCCTTCGGTTGTGTTTTGTTGTAAAATGTCAAGAGACTTCATTGTTATAATCTACAAATTGATTGAGTGAATGGATAAACAAAATTCTATCTCAATTTTCCAGGATATTTCAGGAAGTAGGAAGCTTTGAGTTGTGTGTATTAAAGCCTCATTTGATCCTCCTTGAACTATCCCTGGACATGATTATTTTCCCTGCTTCTTCCCAGCATGAATGGGAAAGGGAAGATGGAAAAAAAACCCATAATCAGTGTCTATGATAGGTAAAATCTGTATTAGTGGCAGAAGCAGTCTCTTAATCCTGTTTTGATTTAGATTCTGCTGAAAACAGTCTGAGATGGACCTGCACTTTTAATGAAATTTACATTTCTAATTTCCTTTGACGTGTGTTCCTTCATTAATCCAGAACATAGTGGAGTTCCCTCCAATTATCTCCAAGGAGTTGTTTGTCCTGAAATTTGTACATATGTGTGTATATGAATATGTATGTATACATGTGTTAATATATCCTTATCTGATAAACTGTTTTACTTTGCTTCCATCTTTTAGGAACCACTGAAGATCTCTTCCAAGATTCAGAAGGACAGGAAGGATCTGAGTTACCTGAACACCAGTTTTCAGACTTGGAAGAGTCTGGTGATGATGATGATGATGTTGATGATGATGATGATGATGATGACAATGATGAAGAAGAGGATGAGGAGGAAGAAGAGGAAGAGGAGGAAGAGGAAAACCAAGAGGAATCACTTGGAAAGCCTTCTGAAACAAAGAATACTTTCCTTCCAGGGAACTTTCCAAGAAGTTCTCTCCCTTCCCAGGAGAAAGGCACCAAGACAACCTTGTCCGCAGTGGAAGATATTCCTTCTGGCAATGAGAGTACTGTTCGTTGTTCCCAGACTGCCTCCTTAGAGCCTGAAATGAAATGGTCAGCTGACAGCTGTGAAGTTGCTGTGTGCCACAGCTTGTTAAGACTTCATCGACCAGCTCAGTCCTCCAGTGCACTCTCAACTTTGGCTGAGAAGGAATCTGTTAGAAGACCGCAGATGCTCTTAGCAATGGATTTGTCAGTCTCCAAAGATATCACGCCTAGAAGGAAGTGTTCCCCAAGCAAGGACTGTGGGATTAGCAGTAGTGGAAACAACCAGTCCTTGACTCGAAAGCATCTGTTAACCAAAAATGAAACTTCACCAAAAAGATTGTCATATACTGGAGAAATGCCCTCCAGTCACCAAGCTCTGCGAGAGTCATTTGTCTTCTGTAATTCATCACCAAGACTTGAGATCTCACCAAGCAGATACCTTTCTTCAAAGACAGAGCTCTCATCACCCTTATACCTTCGGCCAGCAAGAGGGATTTCTCCGGTGAGATGTGTCTCTCCAAGTAGGGAAATGCCATCATCTAGATACTTATCTCTGAAGAAAATGCTGTCCCAGAGCTATTCAGAGCCACCTTCATGGTATCCATCCCCAGGAAGAGAAGAGTTGCCTTCTCAGAGCCAAGTGGCAGCAGATGAAAAAGTACAAAACTTAAGTAAAACTCAGTATGGAATATCATCTTCAGTGCCTCTACCTCACAGGTCCCTTGACAAGGATATAGAGCTGCATGAAGACCTTAAGCTGGTAAGCTGTGCTTGGAGATGGGTAAAATCTGGTCCTCCAGATGTTTTTTTCATTGCAACATCTATTGTCTCACATCACGGGCCATGCTGGCTAGGGATGATGGGACATAAAGGTCAGCAATATTTGAAGACCCATATATTGCCCATTCCTGCTTTACCTCCTTGCTCTTCAAGTGGTGGGTCAGGAATTTGGAAATGGATATTGCCCAGCTTAAGATCAAAACTGTCATTTTCATGATGTGCTCTTTTGGGGTGTGAATTTTTTTTGTTTTCTGTTGTGTTTTAACACAGAGCACAGAAAGAGAGAAGGATAACCACATACAATGGAAGATGTTCTTTTAGTTTGTCTCCTTTGAGTCATCTTGTTTTTCTAAATTAAGAAATTAAGAATTGTTTTTTTAAATTAAGAGTCATCTTGTTTTTCTAAATAAGAATTTTCTAAATTAAAAAACCCAGTATTTTGTGTCCACAACTGTATACTCCAGACTTAAAGAATTGACTTTTTATATGCCTCTTGTCATTGCAGAAGACAGAGTCCAGGAGCCCAACAGTTTCACCAGGCATCATTCAACATCTCTATTTCAGACCTTTGCAATCGCTCCATGAAGTACCCATTCATGCTCCAGATCGAGTGGAAGACCATATTTTTAGTCATCTCCCTTTGCACTCCCAGCAATTACCCAGGAGCCCTTGCCCGATGATCCCAATTGGGGGCATCCAAATGGTCCAGGCAAGGCCCAGCAGCCATCCCAGCTTGGGGCATGGATCAGTGATGTCCCTGCAGGCCAGCTACTTTGAACTTGGTGGTAGCACTTCTGAATTCAGCCAGATGAAAGTCAAGGGCAAAGAAACTCCAAACAGATATGAAGCTCCTTCTTCATCGGCCACTTCGCCACTTCAAAGCGGCATCTACATGGAAGAGAAAACAAGGACTAGTGAACTTCATCAAATACGATCCAAGGAGGGATACAGGGTAAAAAAGTGTAGTTCAGAGCAGGAGAGTTGTACGGCCACTCAGATGAGTTCTTGCTCAACGGGGGAGTGTTCTCCAAAGCCTTTGGCTCATGGGGAAGGACCCTTCACCAAGAAGGGGGAGAAACATGGTGGCAGCTCATGTACTACTTTCAGATCCACCTGCACTTTTATTTCAAGCATCCCCACGCAGTCACTGGACCGAAGCAGCAGCATGGGCTGCCTGTTGGAACATTCATTCAGCCAGTCCTCTCACCAGCTCTCCACCAGGAGAAGGAACCTGTCAGGAGAGCCAGCCCCACAAGCAGGGGCACCTAGGAGAAGAAGTCCATCCTTGGAACAGGCTGCAGGCTTTGGCTTAGCACAAAGCAGAGTGGAGAACAGTACAGGAAATACTTAAGCTCCTGCTCTGTCCTTCTCAGCAACTTCTCAGATGTTAACAACAGACCTTGGTCAGTGCTGTTGGTTTTAGAGTAAATCATTGCTACAGGAAGGTCCCTTTCGTGTAGAAAAATCATGCTCGCTCCCTCCATTTTACTTTCACATTTCCTTGTGCCTTTATCAATGCCCCTTTTTGTTGTGGTTGCTTGACATGCACACACACATACACACACACACACACACACAAAACTGAAGCTACAAGTGTTTTACACACTTGAAAAGGCGTTAATCACCCATGCCTCTCCATTGCCATTAACCATGTCTGTTCCAAGGAACTCCGATAAATGCAGACAGGAAAGAGTCAAGAATCTTTTCCAAAGGATGCACTGAAAACTTCTACAAAAATTGACACCTCTTCAGAGATACTGATTAGGGAAAAAAAAATCTGCTCCCCTGTACAGAAGTTATAATCCCCCATCCCTATTTATTACATGGTTTATTTAATATGTGGTGAAGTGCTTGTTATTTTATAATGGTTCTTTTTTATTATTATTTGCATTATTCTGATTGCCTGTAAATGTGCTTTAAGGACAGCTGTGACTGTTCTGATGGGGAGGGGGGAGAAGTGTTTACCCTTGAATTGTTGATGAAATTAGCACTTACTTTGGGGAGGTATTAATGGCAGTGAAAATAATTCTGTCTCCCTGCCCTGAAAAAAAAGGGGGGGGAGAGGGAGAGAGATTGGTGATCTCAGCAGGTGCCTCCCTAAATACAACCCACAAAAGCACTTTTTAAAAAGGGACACACAGACATATGAAGGGTTATCCCCTTTTAAGAAAAAATAAATAAATTGGAAGGAAATAGAAATATATTGAATGTAAAAAAAAATATGTTCTGAGAATGGTGTGGATCTGTTCTTTCTGGCAGCCATTCTTGCTTTAATGCTGACATTCCACGTTGCTGCTGCTTAAATCCATGTGCACACAATCCTAAAGGGTGCTTTTTACCAGCCATGGAAGTCGGCTGGTAAACGTTGGCTGAGACTTAGTTGAGAATCTTTTTTTGTTTTCTTCTGCTCCTGGAATCTTAGTGTTCGAAAATGTGCTCTCAAGTATGAGATACATAACCTCAGATTTAGAAATATGTCTCTCCTTTAAAAAAAAAATTGTCCCGAGTTTCTTACACCAATTTTTTTTTTTTTTAAAAAAAACAAAACATCCAGACTTGACCCTTCCATTTTTGGAAACTAGTGCAGAGAAGAAAGAAACCTTAGTTTCTTACTTATAAAACGGATTCCATTGGAGCTGTCTTCTGCACAATGCACATGTGGGTGAGCAAGCTCTAAGGAACCCATGATGGGTGTTGAACCAGGACTTCGGTGTGGTACAAGCCATTAGCAAGGGTCTTCCCACCAGTACAAGTTAAGTGCATGCTTATGCTTACATCTGCCCCCGCCATAGTTATAATTTCTGATTTCATGATACATTTGTATCAATTAGACCATCTCCCTCTGAAAGAGGAGGTTGGTCAATTTGATGGCTCTCCAGAGAGGCTGGATTTCAACCTGTATGCAGGTAGTCCTCGACCTACGACCACAATTTCTGTGGCTCAGTGAGACATTTGTTAAGTGAGTTTTGCCCCATTTTATGGCCTTTCTTGCCACAGCTGTTAAATGAATCACTGCAGTTGTAAAGTTAGTGACACAGCTGTAAAATGAATCTGGCTTCCCCATTGACTTTGCTTGGCAGAAGGTCACTAATGTGACCACATGACCCCTCATAAATATGAGCCAATTGCCAAGCGTCTGAATTTTGATCACGTGACCATGGGGATGCTGCAAGGGTCGTAAGTGTGAAAAATGGCCATAAGTCGCTTTTTTAGTTCCACTGTAATTTCAAAACAGTCACTAAGCACACTGTTGTAAATTGGGGACTAGCTGTAATCTCAAACCAGCAAGATCATGCTGGATGGGAGACTATAAAAACTGAAAACAGCATTACTTTAAGACCTCGTATGTAGGAAAAATATTCATTCAGTCTTAATAGATAAAACAGGAAATTTAGGTCTTTTTATTTGATTTTTGCACAGTTTATCCTCCCAACCTTTTGAATAAGTGCAAACATGCAATGAGGCAGAGAGCCAAATTTCACGTCTGCGCAATGTGGTGGTGAATATTTAGCCAGTTTTTTTTTTAAGAGCAGTTTTAAGAAGTGCCCACCCAACCGCTAACCAATTGGTGCCACGTACAAATCATGGCAGTGTCATGCAATTCTGCTTTGTTCATACCATTTTAAAAGTGCAACTGTTAAAAAGAAGTGTTTACTCTGATAAGATTGTGTGCTCAGCATTTATTTGAAGAGTCTGTATGGAGTCTGTACAAATGCTTTTCAAAAATGAAGCCAGCCCCCTTCCCCCTCACTCACCAGCCCTGCAACAGATCCACAAATGTTTATCCAGTGGACCAGTTCAGAGCTATCTGAGATGTTCTGAATTTATTGTGTGCATGCTCTCTCATTTCCTCCAAATCAGGAAAAGAAGAAGAAGAAGAATCCTAAATGAGTTCATCTGATTAAGCTGGCTTGATAAAGCCATGGACGGTTGGGTTCTGCATAGGTGAACAACACAGAATGGGTTAAATAATATGAGATGTATTGTTTTATGTATTGTATTAAGGAATTTATGAAAACGGGATGTTAGGCCATTTTTGTTTGGCTGGTTTTGTGTCCATTTGGTCAAGGTAACATTGTGATATGAAAGCAACCAATTCAACCCTGGAATTGCAGAGTTCACTGGAAAACGCCACATGTGGTCTTCAACATTTTTACTTTGTTTACTTCTGCTTCTGATACCTCTTTCGGGGCTGAGTGTGATGGTGCTGTTGTGTTTGCACTGGAATCCAGCATCAAAACTTTGAAGGGGGTCTAATTCAGTTTTCTCCTGAGTCAGATCATGGAGTACAATATCTATTACTGGATTAAATAGAATATATTGAATCAACAGAAATTGGCACTACCTTGCATTCACTTCAGAGGATTCCCCCATACCCTGTCCAGCATTGAAGAAGCAATCCTTGGATCATCATCTCTGTGGCAATTGCTGGACAACAGTATTTCATCTCCACTGAGGCTTTGAATTCCTGGGTCCTTTATTTTCCTTCTTCCCAGTTGGCTTTCCATGCAACTCTTTAATGGACCAAACGGTTTTCAGTATTGTAAGTGTACACGAGCCATTATTGGACACTCTCACGTCTTTGATCCATTCATGCTTTAACTGTGCCTGGTTTCATTTGGGGGCTAGATCAAATGCAACATAATGCTCAGGGTTTTCTGTTTTCCCAGCTTTTTCCTGCTTTCACCTCCTTTTCATTTAAATGCAGTGTGGAAGGCACATTTCTTTTACCTTGCAATGGATTCTATGATTTGTGGTGGAATTTAGATTCCCAGAGGTAATATTAATAATTAGGGTATGTTTATTTTTATTTTTTTGTTCTGATACTGTTCTGTCTCCCTTCCATGCTCTGCAGATGGAAGTAAAATTTTGTTCACCGTTAGGAGGCTTGATGTTACCACTTCATACATTGTTATGTTGCTTGTAAGGGCATTTTAGTTTGGGGAGGTGGATCCTGAAATCTCCTATTGGGACCACAATGCTCCTAGCATAGACTGAATAGCAGAAGACCCAATACACTATGCAATGCATTGTAACCTTTTGTGATCTCTCTTCTCACAATTTAGAAGGCTCTACTTGAATTCCTCCTTTTCATTTCCTGATTGGGAACTAATGTTTGCCCAGATCCAGATATTTGTACCAGCATACCTGCCAGCAGCCTCACTTTGACCTTAGCATGGCATAGTTTATACTTGGCATCATTCAGTTGCTTTGGGCTTCAGCTCCCATTAGCTCTAGATTGCATGACCAGGAGCAGGGGACTGTTAAGACTTGAAATCTTAAATACCTAAAGGCCACCAAGTTGTTTGAGCCTTCTTTTGCATAATGAGTGTCCATTGTAAACACAAACAGGTGTCAGCTTGACTTGTTTGCTAGTGGAGTTCTCATTTTCTAATATGATCCATGGTGATGCAGAGGTTAGAATGCAGTATTGCACGCTAATTCTACTGACTGCCAGCAGTTCAATTCTCACTGGCTCAAGGTTGACTCAGCTTTCTATCCTTCCAAGGTCGGTAAAATGAGGACCTGGATTGTTGGGGGCAATAGGCTGACTGTAAATTGCTGTAAAGGGAGGGCTGTAAATCACTGTGAAGTGGTATATAAGTCTAAATGCTATTGCTACTGCTATGTAATCACAGGCCAACTAAAGTCGTGTGTTAAAAAACTTTAGTTGTGATACAGGAAAAATAAATGGGAGCAATTCCTCTCTCATCACTTTTTTCTTTCTTTTGTGAGCCATGTAATCTTCTGGGTCTCTAGGGCATTTCTTGTTGGCCAACCGAGTGCATCGGTTGGCCAGATGGAGCTGGCTTCCCTGACGGCAAGCTACTCAACACACCAAGGGCTCAAATTGTATGGTGCTGAGCACTCTAGGAAGACCTAGCAAAGCCTTAAGAAGGTGCTTCACTGGAAGCACTTAAAATCGCCCCATTAAAAGTCAAGTACTGGGTCAGTCAAGACATTGTGGTGCTATAAGGAAATTTAGGAGACACTTATGACTAGCTGGCCCTTATCATCTCAGACTAGGAAAACTGAACAGAATCTCATTGCTATTAACAAAGTCTTTTTAGAGGTAATTTCCCTCCAAAAGTCATGTATCCTAAGACTTATTTCAGAGTAAATATCTCTGAGTATAATACCATTCATTTCAGAGTAAGATACATATGATTTGTCAATAAAATGTTTTGATCCAAATATGAAGTGGGCTATTTTGAGTATTCTGGGAAAATTTTGAATTGAGAATGCTCAAAGAATAAGCCAGTTTTGAGCTCAAGACAGCTTCTCCACAGTAGAGACAGGCCATTTTAACCTGGGGTTATTCTGATTTTGAAATGATTTGAATGGATACTTCTGTGCACCCCTAATTTATGTAATTGAGCAGGTTCTGTGGAATATTTCTAGATTTTTCACCACCACCCTCCAGTTTTTGGTTGAAAAAGAAAGAAGAATCGCTTGCAAAAATTTACAGAAATCTTTATATTTGATTATTGGGTTTCAATAATGATATTTGTGTTTTAGTTCATGAGTATTTCCATTGGTGTTTTGGTGACCA